ATATATATATATACATTATATTGGACTATTTCATTACATGTTCAGCCATATTTCATTTATTTTCTGTTCAAATATAAATAAAATAAATTCATAAATTCCCAACTCCTCAAAAAAAAAAAAAATCAATAAAGTATAATAAGGCTATCACAATGAATTAAAGGCCTGATGATATTAATGAAAGTACCATTAATGCCTCTTAATATAAATCCTAAATTATTTATAGGGAGGACATTTGGATAAAGTTATTTTTAAAATGTGCAGATAAATAGTGCAGGCAACCAAGTGCATCTCCTTTCAAATACGTTTGTCACACATTTTTCTGCTGCTAAAGTCTGAACAAATGGAAAAAGGTGAAGCCACAGGTTTGAGCGCTTGAGGATGTTATGAAGACCAAAAATAGAAAGATAATTTAAGTGAAGGCTTGAACGTGATTTGTCTGAAGGTGCGTGTGTAATCTCCTCCCACCTGCCTGCTGAGGAGGCTGCGGCGCTGCCCGATGAGTTTTGTAGCAACTGTTGCCCAGTGAGGCAACGCCATAGCCACCGTAGTCCTGGCGACTGTAACCCACCAACAACAACCTCTGGCTCCATCATTACCACCTCCTCCACCATCCTCATCTTCATCCACCAGTCCACAGCTCAGGTTTGGCTCAACTCTTTTACCGTTTTTAGCCTGAACGCAGCTCGTTTCGTCGCCTCTTCGGGCTGCATCGGGTTTTATTGCGCTACGTGCGCCGCTTCTTGCTCGTGTGTTTTGTCCGCCGCTGGATGAAGGCTCCGCGGATAGCCGGGGTACTAGTTTCTTTGTAACGTGTTAGCCTGCTTGCTAAAGGTCCCCCCCCCTCCTCCTCCTCCTCCGTGGAAACTCAACTGTCGTAGGAGGTCCTGCTCTTCAGCAGAAACAAGCTACCCCTGCCTCGAGGAGGGCCGTGAGGCTGAAACGTGTTTTAAATTCGTGTTTTTTACGTTTATAAATTAGTTGTAACTTTCCACGCTGAGTGGTAGCTGAGCCCGAGGCTAGTCGTTGCTAACTGGTCAGCTGGAGCAGGAGCAGGTGTCTGTTGCTAACGCGAGCGATGCCTCCCTCACAATGCCTGTTGGTACCCCCCATTTTATTTATTTATTTATTTATTTTATTTTTTTATGGTAATGTTACGATGATATTGCAAGTTGTAGACGCTCAACTCGTGAATCATGTGAGTTTAGCAAAGGGAAAGTGGTGAGCGCTAGCCTTCCACTCTAACTGGTTGACAATAGCTAAGCCATTACTTTCCCTTTTGTCTTAGGCAGCTTCGCTAGCTCTCCATCTGCCCTCTTTGTGGCATCAGATGGCTGATAAGCTGTGAGATAACGCTGGGCTAAGTTCTGCAGGGGAAAATAACCTTTACTGGATTTACATTTAAATATGTTTATGTTTGACTGAATCATTCATGCTGAATTTTAACAATCGGGCTGATAAACGTCAATCTATATCCCCTCTGGTGTTGGATTAATAATGTATAAGTTTGCACTGTTTTTTGGGGTTAAAAAAAAATTTAATTATTATTTTATTTTAAGGAAGTGAATAAAACCAATTTGCTCCCAACAGAGTAAGAAATCTTTTAAGTCAGTCAGGTTTCTTGGTGTTGCATCACATTTGGTCTTGGGTTCACTGGGTCCCCTGTTCACCTGCAGCAACTGATTCCTATTAGCAAAGAAAATAGGCGTGTGCGAGAGGAAGGGAGGGCAGGTGCACCTCCACTGGTGTGGGACTCCAGACGTCCTGATTCATCTTCATCTGTCCTCAACATAAATGATAAAAAAAAGTATTCAGGAGTACACAAAGTACAACAAATCATCAGTTAAGAATTATGTTCTAGCTTATATTTAAAAACATAAGAGTGGTTTAGCTGCAGCACGGGAGCACTTCATCTCAACTGCATCAACACACTAACTCGTCAATTTGTACGTATCACGCAGGTAATGCCCAAAATGTTTTAAATCTGTTGGCACCGACAACCTAATTTAGGTCACACGCATCAACACAACTGGACGTTAGGAACTGCCAACTGTCCGATCATGTTACCACTTACCTGTAGTCCAGAAGGGCAGAAATAGTACCATGCCACCTGCTGCTTAGATCTTGTTGCATTTCCAATCACTTAAAGTGGAGTTGATTAATTCAGTTATTCTGTCGGCCATTTTCCTGGCTTATGTTCGTTTTGTAATTCACCACAGCCTTCCTTCTTTAATATTAATGAAATACATCTATTTAAATGTGATTTTTTTTCTCTCTTACTGCATTAATTTGCTGTTAAACAATAGAGTAGAATTCAGGATAGCAGTAATAACTTGTTGTCAGATTCAAATCATTAGCATTCTTCCAGTATAGCTTTAGGCATTACAATCAACGTTACTAGTCCTTACAATGAATGTCCTCTCACTTTTCTTTTAACTTCCCCTCTCCTTCCTTCGTAAACAAACACAGCTCTTTGCATACCCTCTACTACTTAGGCTCCCAATTACATCTCCCTCCACCTGTTTTCCTGCCACCTGATGGAAAAAGAGAGAGACTTTCTCCTGGATGTAATCAGTCCCGCTCACTAGCATGTATGTCTTGACTCCACACGTTACACTCCCAACTTTATCGTGCATGATCGTTACAGAGGCAAATTACAGCCCTTGGCGTTTTTAACCGTGAACCTTGTGCGCCTCGCATTTCGTGGCCTGGGATGTTAGCAGGAGGAACTGAGGAGAGAAAACTCGGGGCAAAAATGTTGCACTCCTTGGTGGCTTTTGTTCCTCTGTGTCTTTGTAGGGTTTGCACTTGCTCAGTGGAGCACAGCATTTAAGTGGGCCACAAGGGAGTGCCTGAATGATGTGTGTGTGTGTACGTGTGCATGTGTGTGTCTTTGTGAAGGGGGCTGAGGTGAGGCGACGAGGGTATGCTGTGATGCAGGGGCTCTTTTCCTCAATTAGGTGGGCTCAGTTGGGGCCATTTGCTTTAGCTTTCAAACAGCTTTGTGGAATATAAGTGAAATATAAATTCTTTACTCTCTGCAAGTCCTTTTTCTGTCTCAGGGTGTAGCTGAGCTCTACAGGTTGACAAGAGGCGTGACATTTTTCCAAGTTTTGTACTCCGGCTGATTCTCTTAATGCACGATTGCACATTTTTGTTCTGCACAGCAGTGATTTTTTTCTTATTTTAAACAGACGTCTGCTGTTAAGATTCCAGACACTCTTCCCAAAGGTGTTAAACACTATTTTTTTTAGCTAACGTCTAAAGGTTTCATTGACTTGAACGTTGCAGTATTTTCTGTGCTGGCTCTTTGATGCTGTCGCCAGCAGTGCACCCAGTTTTGGTCTAGTTACCCCCAAGTGAAAGCTTAGAAAAGGGACAGTGCAAGTTTTGAAGGTAATGGAAAGGGGCAAGCTGTCCCTGGAGTGATTTGAAGCTCTTAGGAGTACCAGCTTAATTAACCAAGAGAGGCTTGTTCATGGAAACGGTGATGGGGAGGAGTTGGCCTTTCCCTGGATGCGGCACGTGATGATAGCCACACTGTTATTAACTCAAAAACATAGGCCAAACCTTTCCACTCAGTCTCATCCTTCTCTTTAAATTTGCTCAGGCTAGGCTTAGTGTGCACACCACATACTGCGCACAAAGTTGCTCCCGTATTATTTTGTCATTTAAAAAAAAAAAGGGTAGAAATGCATAAACATATGTATCCTGCTGTTGGCAACCTTTAGTTTTTATTCTTGCTCCAGGGCTGTCAGTCAGAATCAACTTTCAGCCTGTAAAAGTGGGGACAGGCAGACAAATTAAAAACACCATCTATTTAGAGTTTGTTAAATATTAACTTGTTTTATGGCTGCAAATGTGGAGACAAGACCATGTGTCAGTGATGCATGAGGCTCTCAGTACACCGAGTACCACAGGGTGGAAACAGGTGCTCAGGTCCAATTGGCCTAGAGCTGCTTTAGTGGCATTGATTTGGGCAAAACATACATTGGGTTTATGATGACACCTCATGCTTCCTGTTATTCCAAGATTAGGTTCTCATTTAGTTGTGCTTTCTGCCCTGAGCACACAAAACTGTGGAAAGTTACTGAATTTCTGGACATGAAACATGTGAAGCATCAGGTTTGATTTTGAGTTTAGTAATTAGAGAATAATGTCACTTTTGGGGGGTCTGGTTAACCAGATGTTCCAAAACAGTACACAATGGGATAAAGGTTTTTGCCCACTTTTAGTTAACTAACTAGACAAACTTACTGTTCTCTGGTTTAATGTCTTTAATTAGCAGGGATATTGGATTTATACTGCTTTGTGTTTATGATGTGGTTATGAGATAATAAAGTTGATTCACCCGTGAGACCAGCAGGTTAATACTTGTGCTGGCTTTCTTGCTGTGACCATAATTCATCTACTGATAACCTATGTGTTTTTTGGGGGGGTTGGGGGTTTCAGGCGCCATGCAGACCCCTGAAGCAGGCGCTGACTCCACCTCCACTGTCCCGCTTCAGACCGCCGTGCCTGTCCAGCCTACCGGCTCCACCCAGCAGGTGCCTGTCCAGCAGCAGGTACTTCCTGGCTTTTGGATCTGAACGCACACATACCATTTAAGTAAAGTGAATAAAAAAATTTAAGTTGTGATTTATTTTACCAGGCCCAGACTGTTCAACAGGTCCAGCATGTTTACCCAGCACAGGTGCAGTATGTCGAGGAAAACAGTGGCGTCTACACCAACGGCAACATGTGAGTCCAGAACTATGAACGCTCCATCCCTGCAGCCTGTTGTCTCTCTCTCCTCTCAAGTCTCTTCTTGTCATGTTCATGTCACAAGCACATGATGCTGCCGGAGCACAGTTGTCTTTTGTGTTTGATTTTAGCTTTTATTTTTTATTTTTCTCTGAGGAGCTTGCGGTCATCTGCCTTATTGTACTCCGTCACCTGAACATGACCAGAAGTAGGACAGAATTTATGTATTTTTAAGTGCTGATGCTGTGAAAGGGGTCCCCTGGGTGTCTGGATTGGAGTTGGACACAACTGATGAACAGGTTCAAGCTGCGTTTGTCCTACTGTGAAAAACACGTACACGAGTGTACATGACACCGTGACTTCTACAGTCGGTTTATATAAAGAGAGCTGGTTGATGGTGGGGCTAATGTAAACATAATATAGCTCCTGTATAGAGGATCTGTTCCTCCAAATTTGAGGCCATGGTCTTGAGCCAGAAAAGGGTAGAGTGCCCTTTCTGGGTCGGGGAGGAGGTCCTGTCCCAAGTGGAGGAGTTCCAAGTATAGGGGTCTTGTTCACAAATGAGAGAAAAATGGAGCAAGACATCAGTAGGTGAATAGGTGCAGCGTCTGCAGTGAAGCGAGTGCTGTACCGGTCTGTCATAGTGAAGAGCAGAGTCCAAAGGCAAAGCTCTCAATTTACTGGTTGATCTACGTTCCTACCTTCATCTAGGGTCATGAGCTTTGGGTTGTGACCGAAAGAACGAGATCACTGATACAAGCGGCCGAAATGAGTTTTCTCCGCAGGGTGTCTGGGCTCTCCTTTAGAGATAGGGTGAGAAGCTCAGTCATCCGGGAGGGACTCAAGAGTAGAGCCGCTGCTTCTCCACATCGAGAGGAGCCAGTTGAGGTGGCTCAGGCATCTGGTTAGGATGCCTCCTGGACACCTCCCTGGTGAGGTGTTCCGGACATGTCCCACCAGGAGGAGACACAGAGGAAGACCAAGGACACACTGGAGGGACTATGTTTCTTGGCTGGTCTGGGAACGCATTGGGATTCCCCCAGAGGAGTTGGTCCAAGTGGCTGGGGAGAGGAAAGTCTGGGCCTCCCTTAGGCTGCTACTCCCGTGACCCAACCCCGGATAAGTGGAAGAAGATGGATGGATGGAAATGGATGGATGGATGGATGGATGGATGGATGGATGGATGGATGGATGGATGGATATAGCTCCTTTAAAACATGTGCTCTTATGGTGCCTGAAGATGTCAGTGTTGTATCCTAATAAAATTTTATTCCAGAAAGCTACATTTAACCTCCAGTTTGTAGAATGTTGTTGTATGTGTGGTTCCGCTTCTAAACGATGACAGTGGGGAGGCTGTCCTGTCAATTTTAACAATTTGTTTCTTTAATATGTTCTACACTGTTATTGTAGTGTGGTAAAGTTCTCAGTAATCTGATTGTCAGTTGTTTGGAAAATAACGCCTACTGTTCGTATGAGTTGAGAGAGATATTTTCAGCTGCTTCTATATGCAGCAGCCTTGATATTTTACTTTACCGCAGTGTGCTTGGAATGCGAATAAAGTACAGTGATGTGACATTGTCAGAATATTGAATATAGGGACGAAGACTAAATTAATCTACTGTTCAGTTTGGTGCAAATGCCAAACACTGCTTGGATCCTGTGCTGCTTTATTTTCACAGTTTGTTCAAAGAAGTGTGCAGCATTATTTAAAAAAAAAAAAAGTTATTTTAAATAATCCTCGTTAGCAGTTTTTTGACCCCTCACCTTTCAACTGAACAGAAGAACCTACTCGTACTCTGAGCCGCAGCTGTACAGCCAGAACAGCGGGGGGAGTTACTTCGACACGCAGGGCAGCTCATCGCAGGTGTCCACCGTGGTGACGTCTCATGGCATGACCAACAATGGAGGAGGGAGCACCGGCGGGATGAACATGGGTTTGGCGGGGGGTCAGGTAATCGGCAGCAGTTCCGGGGCTTACCTGATGGACAACGCTGGACCACACCCTGCCACCCAGACCGCACGAGCCTCCCCAGCCACTGTAAGTTACAAAGCACGTGGACGTGGCTTCTCATGCTTGAACCTTTTCCTGTTTTTATAACTGGAATAAAAATTATAAACGGGGAAACAAAGCTGTACAAATGTGCACATTTCTATTATATATTCTGTACTGGACAAAGCTGAACAGCTACGCTCTGATGGTCTTAATATTTGACATTTGTGTCTTTTGAATCTTTATAGACAAGATTGTTGCAGCAATTATATGTTTTATAACTGTGCATCAGATGTAAAAAAAAAAAGAATCTATCTTCAGAATTAATATTTTATATACCTCATTTAATAAAAGTAAAAAAAACGCAGCAGCTTGCAATACAGTAGTCCCTCACTACTTTGCGGTTCATTTATCACGGACTCACTCTATCGCGGTTTTTCAAAATAAGTTCGGACATGACACACAATTGGCTGATTGATGGATGAGCCGCACGATCGACATGAATTTTTTATTTAAAATAAATTATTTTGAATTATTTAGCACCAGCTGGACATTTGTGCAGCCCAGAGCTGCAGAAAAAAACTTCCTCCTGCAACTCTGTGCTGCCCACACTGCTGCAGGATAAACTTCCGGCTGCAGCTGATCAGATGTTCAGTGTGCAGAACAGAGAAGTGGGCGTGGCCAAGAGCGCTTGCAGGTGGCAAAGAGCAGAGGAGGTAGGGAGCTGAAATCATGACATTCTGTGCTCTTTTAGAGTTTACAGACATTGTTTAGAATATTGCAAGAGTGTGGGAAGGGTTTTAAATGTGTGTATATATATATATATATATATATATATATATATATATATATATAAAAATAAATAAAGTACTATTTGCTACTTGTACTACTTTTCCTACTTTGCGGTTTTTCACTTATCACGGGTCTTCACGGTATGTATCCCCCATGATAAACAAGGGACTACTGTATTTAACTATATCGTGCAGCCACCTTCACAAAACTAGATTTACATGTGTGCAAAAGTTTTGAGTCATGCAGTGAAAAAGTAACCTGATTTCACAAAACACTTTAGAAAACTTTCAGAAAGCCTAAAGAACTAGACGACTTTAAAAGATGATGTGAAATTTTGCCTTGAATGCAATTTATGAAGAAATTAGGGATAGTTTAAAAGTCTTGTACAGTATTGTAAGTGTTGCTCATCTTCATCAATGAAAGAAGAAGTGGGCAGGAAACATTGCCATGTTACAGTTGTATTTCTGCTTCATAAATCTTGAATAGTTGCATGTTATTTACAACACGGTTCAGTTGATGTTTTGTATGTTATATTTGACCATTTCTCTGGTGAGCAAAGCTTTTCCTTAAAGGACAGACCTGCTCTGCTTGGGGTTAGCGGGGCTTGCTTTGGGATCTTTCTCTAGACTCTTTATTTTTTGCTTGTGTCCAGTAATGTGTACACATCCAGCTCTTTAGTTTTCTTGCTTTGGTTTTGACACCCCCCTCCCCCCTACATTTTGTTGACCTGTGCTTCGTGGTTTATCAGATTGAAATGGCGATTGAGACTCTCCAAAAATCTGAGGGTTTATCCAGTCAGAGAAGCTCGCTGCTCAACAGCCATGTAAGTTGCTTTTCTAAATGCACGCCCTCGGCTAACCTTAAGTTTTGCTAATCTCACTCTTGCTGCTCTGCCTATCTCTTTTTTTTTCTATATGAAGTTTTAGTGTGGTGCTTTGTTTTATTGTGGCTTGTTTTGTTTGTCAGTGTTACTCTAAAATCAATGACTGCAATAGAAGCTTTTACAAAGCTGTCATGCAGCAGCAATGCGTTTACTGATCGTCAGCCGAGGATTTCGTTGACCAGGATGTAAATGTAGTTAAGTGAGTTTAAAAAGCATGTTCCCTCTTTTAGCTCCAGTGGCTTCTGGACAATTACGAGACAGCAGAGGGAGTAAGTCTACCACGATCCACCCTCTACAATCATTATCTACGCCACTGCCAGGAGCAGAAACTGGACCCTGTAAATGCAGCCTCTTTTGGCAAACTCATTCGCTCCATCTTCATGGGACTCCGCACGAGGCGTCTTGGAACAAGGTTAGATGTTTCTTCTTTTTTTTTTACTGTAAGAAAGCATCAGATTGGCGTGATCATTTTCTGTTATTTATTGACGTTTGTGTGCATTCATAGTGTGATTTTTATCAGAACGTTTACCTTTTTGTTTTGCCTTACAGAGGGAACTCTAAATATCATTACTACGGTATACGTGTGAAACCAGACTCCCCGCTCAACAGACTTCAAGAAGACATGCAGTATATGGCTCTCAGACAGCAGCCAGTTCAGCAGAAGCAGAGGTAGAACATCCTGGCATGCAGCACTTCTTGTGGCCTGTCGCGATAAACAATAAATCAGTTAATCGCATGATAAATGAAAAATTTCGACCTAATTTTCATTTATCGGCTTTATCATTTCTTCTTGTCTCTCTCTTTCTACTGAAGACACTGGATGACAAAAGGCTCAACTCTGGTGCTCTTCACTGACCCCTTCCTTTCTCTTTTCTCTTTAAAATCCATTTTAACCATCCAAAATCGTGTTTGTGGATTGTGAAAAGCAGCTAAGCTACGAGCTAAGCTAACAGACCGACCTCAGGAAAAAATCTCCGTCTTATCAAAGCTTCAAAATTCACAGTTGAAACCTGTGCCTTCTTCTAAAAAGTTGTTTTTCTCTGCTAAAAGGAGCTGAGAACTTGTTTACTTATTTTTTTATTAAAAGCTTTGTGTGAAAAATGCTATGCTAAAGAGCTCAAACTACACCAAGCGTCTGCCATTTTGAGAACCAAAAAACAGGAAGGAGAGACAGCCCATGTCACATCAAGGGGCCTCCCTCCCATTTTTCTTAAAGGGACACGCTGCTCACTCTCTCACTATCCATCCTTAGGTTCAAACTGTCTTATACTGCCATCCAGTGATCAAAAAAGATATTACACATAAAATTAACCAACATTTCTTCTTAAATTTGACAATAATTACTAATTAGTGTCAAATTTCAAACAATATTATCTTTTATCGCAATAATGTCTGAGACAATTAATCGCCCAGCAAAGTTTATCATGACAGGCCTACTTGTGGCACAGTTCAAAACAGTTGGCGAAGCCAATGTTTACATTGCGACTGCAGGTTCAAGCCAGTGCAGAAGTTTGACAGTGGCTCTGGAGACAATTACACAAGTGGAGGCCAGCACCATCCTGGTGCAGCAGAGCAGACTGTTATTGCACAGAGCCAGCACCACCAGCAGTTCCTAGGTAAACCACTTTTTTTTCTTGCATCTTCCTATATATGTTTTAAACATTTGTGCTAGATAAGAGTTTATCATATTTTTTTTATTATTATATTATTTCTCAACAGATGCATCGCGGGCACTCCCTGACTTTGTAGAACTGGACCTTGGACAGAATAATCCAGAAAACATCAGCCCAGAAGATGTAAAAGCTCTCCAATCCCTTTACAGAGAGCACTGCGAGGTTAGATAGAATACACTATTTTACATTTTGTGGTCAAGGTCACTAAAGCACTGTTAGAAAACATTTATTAAAGACCGCTAAGCAATGCCCACTAATGTTAGTGCATTAGTGCATCAGTATGTGACTGCTGAAGACGTTGTACCGGTTCATTTTCTTATTCTCTGTGTGAGCTGTTAATATCACTCCGCCATTTCTATAATATATACTGACACTTTCTCTCTAAGTCAAGTCCCTATTTTCTGTCATGTAGCTATTATGACACCGTTTTAGCAGTTTATTCTTATTTAAGTGAACAACAAGGTCAAAAAGTTGCATATTGAAGGCAAAAAAATATTTTAAGAACTAATGTGTTGATAACAACAAGTCCATGCTCAATAATCCAGGTATAAAATCCAACATTTTTCAGTCAGGTCATCTGGACAGTTTTAATGTGTTGATGTTTTGAAAATATATTTGATATTCGGTGATTCCCAGAGGAATCCATTCTTGTTATTTCAGTCATAATTTATTACTCATCTTGTTTAATTTCTGGATGTGTTTCAGGCTATATTGGATGTTGTTGTGAACCTCCAGTTTGGGCTGATCGAGAAGCTGTGGCAGACGTTCTGGCGTTATTCTCCTCCTGACACTGTAGAGGGCGCCACCGTAACAGAGAATAGGTGCGATTAAACTAATACACATCAATATATTTGTACTTCATTTAATTTATGGTAATGTGACTACTTAGGCGAGTCTTTTGTAAATATGGTTTGCTCCCTCCGCAGCAGCATAAGTGAGATCGAAGCCCGGCTTCCTCGAGCACAGCTATTGGTGCTGTGCAGAAACGAGGCGGTTCTGAAGTGGATGAGCACCTGTGACCATTTAATGTACCAGGCCCTCGTAGAGATTCTTATTCCTGATGTCCTGAGACCCATTCCCAGTGAGCCTCCGTCACAAAAGCTTTCATGTTTAATTAAATACCTGATTCAGGTTTGCAGTATATTTAACTCACTACCGTTTCCTTTTCAGGTGCCTTGACTCAAGCCATTCGCAACTTTGCCAAAAGCCTAGAAAGTTGGCTTAGTAATGCCATGAATGCCATTCCCCAGAGAATGATTCAGACCAAGGTGCATCAGGAAATAAAGAATAAAGCATTTCTTTATGGTATTAACATTTTACATCTGGCTGTGAAGGTAATGTAAAGTAGTAATAACCTGGATCTTGGGTGTGCTCCTGTCGCAGATCGCCGCTGTTAGTGCCTTTGCGCAAACGTTGCGCAGATATACATCTCTGAACCACCTGGCTCAGGCGGCACGCGCTGTGTTGCAGAACACATCACAGATCAACCAGATGCTGAGTGATCTCAACCGGGTTGACTTCGCCAATGTACAGGTTAGAGCAGTCCTTCGTGTTTAGGGATGTGGTCCCTACATTTCAGTTTATTAACACTTTTACGTAAAGGTCCTGCTCGTCCTCTTCTGTTGTGTAGGAGCAGGCATCGTGGGTGTGCCAGTGTGAGGAGGGAATGGTTCAGCACTTGGAGCAGGACTTTAAGGCTACGTTGCAGCAGCAGAGCTCTCTGGAGCAATGGGCAGCCTGGCTGGATAATGTGGTCACTCAGGTGCTGAAGCCTTACGAGCACAGGCCCAGCTTCCCCAGGGCAGCTAGACAGTTCCTGCTGAAGTGGTCCTTCTACAGGTCGGAAAAACATCCACCGTACAGACACGTTTGAGACTGTAGGCCCAAAACTATTAACTCTTTTTATGTTTCTGCAGTTCTATGGTGATCAGGGACCTGACCCTGCGCAGTGCTGCCAGCTTTGGCTCCTTCCACCTCATTCGCCTGCTTTATGATGAGTACATGTTTTATCTAGTGGAACACCGTGTGGCTCAAGCTACCGGAGAGACTCCTATTGGCGTCATGGGCGAAGTAAGTGCAGCAGCTTCTGGTGCTTTTTTTTACCATCTCTGGATGGATTCTAAACTAATTGTGCTTTTCTGTTGGCATTTTGTTTCAGTGTTTAACCATCATGCGTTATTGTAAACAGAAGATCCGCTGTATGTCGGTACATAAAAACATAAACATCTAATATCTTCTCAATTTTTTTGTATTTCTTTTCAGTTCGACAACCTCAACAACTTATCCCTTACTAGCATTGATAAAGGTAAGCCAAACACAATATTATTGTGTGGAAAAAAGAAATATATTTAATAATAATATTTATTTATTTTCCCCTCTAAAGCTGTAAAAGCTATACAGTAGTCCCTCGTTTATCGCAGGGGATCCATATCGGAAGCCCTGCGATAAGTGAAAAGCCGCGAAGTAGGAATAGTAGTATAAGTAGTAAGATATATATATATATATATATATATATACAGTGGGGAGAACAAGTATTTGATACACTGTTGATTTTTCAGGTTTTCCAACTTGCAAAGCTTGTAGATGACTGTAATTTTTATCATAGGTACTCTTCAACTGTGAGTGATGGAATCTAAAACAAAAATCCAGAAAAATACAATGTATGATTTTTAAATAATTAATTTCCATTTTATTGTGTGAAATAAGTATTTGATCATCTATCAACCAGTAAGAATTTTGGCTCTCACAGACATGTTAGTTCTTCTTTAAGAAGCCCTCCTGTTCTCCACTCATTACCTGTATTAACTGCACCTGTTTGGACTCGTGACCTGTATAAAAGACACCTGTCCACACACTCAATCAATCAGACTCCAGCATCTCCACAATGCCCAAGACCAGAGAGCTGTGTAAGGACATCAGGGATAAAATTGTAGATCTGCACAAGGATGGGATGGGCTACAGGACAATAGGCAAGCAGCTTGGTGAGAAGGCAACAACAGTTGGTGCAATTATTAGAAAATGGAAGAAATACAAAATAACGGAAAATCTCCCTCGGTCTGGGGCGCCATGCAAGATCTCACCTCGTGGAGCATCATTGATCTTGAGGAAGGTGAGGAATGAGCCCAGAACTACACGGCAGGACCTGGTCAATGACCTGAATAGAGCTGGGACCACAGTCTCAAAGAAAACAATCAGTAACACTCTACGCCGTCAAGGATTAAAATCCTGCAGTGCACGCGAGGTGCCCTTCCTCAAGCCAACGCATGTCAAAGCCCGTCTGAAGTTTGCAAATGACCATCTGAATGATCCAGAGGAGGAATGGGAGAAAGTCATGTGGTCTGATGAGACAAAAATAGAACTTTTTGGTTTAAACTCCACTCGTCATGTTTGGAGGAAGAAGAATGATGAGTACAACCCCAAGAACACCATCCCAACCGTGAAGCATGGCAGTGGAAACATCATTCTTTGGGGATGCTTTTCTGCAAAGGGGACAGAACGACTGCACCATATTGTGGGAAGGATGGATGGGGCCATGTATCGTGAGATTTTGGCCAACAACCTCCTTCCCTCAGTAAGAGCACTGAAGATGGGTCGTGGCTGGGTCTTCCAGCATGATAACGACCCAAAACACACAGCCAGGGCAACTAAAGAGTGGCTCCGTAAGAAACATCTTAAGGTCCTGGAGTGGCCTAGCCAGTCTCCAGACCCGAATCCCATAGAAAATCTTTGGAGGGAGCTTAAAGTCCGTGTGGCCCAGTGACAGCCCCGAAACCTGAAGGCTCTGGAGGAGATCTGTATGGAGGAGTGGGCCAAAATCCCTGCTGCAGTGTGTGCAAACCTGGTCAAGAACTACAGGAAACGTCTGATCTCTGTAATTGCAAACAAAGGTTTCTGTACCAAATATTAAGTTTCATTTTTCTGGTGTATCAAATACTTATTTCACACAATAAAATGGAAATTAATTATTTAAAAATCATACATTGTATTTTTCTGGATTTTTGTTTTAGATTCCATCACTCACAGTTGAAGAGTACCTATGATAAAAATTACAGTCATCTACAAGCTTTGCAAGTGGGAAAACCTGAAAAATCAACAGTGTATCAAATACTTGTTCTCCCCACTGTATATATATGTATATGTATGTATATATATATATATATATATATATATATATATATATAT